ATATATATATATATACAGAGAGAGAGAGAGAGAGAGAGAGAGAGAGAGAGAGAGAGACTCACACACGTATCTGAAGTTTGGAACTCCTTTTGTACAAATGTATACTTTATAGAAATCACTGTCTATAGTTCCACAAACTCGACATATTTATGTTTTGTTTGTTTTTACTCTGCCTTTAATGTCTTAATGTACCATTGTCCAAAAGTTACTTGTATGGCCAGACTTGGTTGTGAATTGAAGTCACTCACTTTTTGCTACAGGTCACTTCTCAAGTAAGGCAGGTTCTTGGGATCTTCTGTGGGTACATGTAGGCCTTTCCTATCAAAACTCAGGGCTTTGGAACTGAAGGATTAGTCTCTTTGGGCTCTAACAAATTGCTAGCCTCCTAACTCTCCTGCCACACTCCCTGCAATTGATTTCCTTTTACATAACTGAAAATATTGCGGTGGCTAATATGACTCCTACCGAAGCCAAGTTTTCTGTTCACCTGGCTTTCCAAAGTCTCTACTTGCTAAATTTTTTCACCATCCCATATCAGACTTTCACCTCCTGCTTCTAATTCTCCATTACCTGCTTCTGTCCTATAATATCTCTAGGATGGGGTGTCAAAGTCAGAGCCCGCAGGCTGGATGTGTCACGTGCTGTCCCCGCCCGGTTTAGCAAAGGGGAAAAAAGCTTGATACATCATGTGACGCCACCATGGCAACATAAGTTTGACCCCTGCTCTAGGACTTCAGTATTTCTTTTTCTTTTCTTCCCTTTTAATTTCTGTGAATGGCTACTTGGCACCTCAACCACAGGCAGAAAAGCTGAAGCTCCAAGCTGGTAGGAAGTACATTCGCACAATATGCCTATGGCACCGGCTCTCCCCCCACCCCACCCCCACACACGTACTCCCTAACATCAGCTCAGAGTTTTCTTCTGTCAGATTGCTTGCCAGGAACTTCAACCTATTCACACACTGCCTTTATGCAATGCCCATCTAATGACCCTCATGGACTTGGGTTTATAATGGTAACCACTACCAGAATTGTTGTTGCTAAGTGATGCCTTGCTTTACAATCTCATTGTTTAGTAGTGGAAATTTCACTCCCAATTGCTGTCATAACCTGAGGACTACCTGACAGATTTTCCCCCCACTCATTATAGCACATACCTTTTTATATTGTATAAGGACACCATAAAGTAAAATATTTTTCTTTTTAACTTCCTTTGCAAGTACAGTTAAACTTTCAATTCCACTGTTAAAAGATGTATTTTCTAAAGTACCCATGTTTACCTGTAAGGAAGGACATGTACAAATTATTAATTATCAAAAATGCTTATATTTTCTATAGATACAAGGAGAAAGATTATTGATTGCTATTTAACAGTTGATGAAATATTTTTTCTCTGAAATCTTATATACATCTATATTTTGCTTGCAGTTTTTAGCATACTAACCAGAGAATAAATACAACAGATTAGTCTATATCTGAACAACATGCATGACTGAATTCCATATCTTATCAGTTCTTTAAAAAAAATTTCAATTGCATTTTAAACCATTGTTTTTTGTATGGAATAAGAAATCAAAGAAAATACACAACAAAATAAAAAAAAACTTCTAAAAGAGCAATAAATTAAAAAACCAAAATAACTAGTTTAATAATTTTGGCTTCCTTTTACAAAATCTCTTACTTGTTACCAAAGTCACAACAATTCTGAAAAATAAAGTATTAAGGTATTACACCAAACAGATCAAATATTTTATAAGCTGAAGAAAGAAATATCTTTACCTACCAAAATGAGAACAACAGGGTACAAAACCAAAGCACCTGTGTTTTCAAGTGTATCCACCAGCAGTGAGATTTCCTCAAAGCCAGGTAGTTTATTCTAATGAAAAAGGAAATAAAATTCATTTGAGAAATGTGAGATATATGATGTTCCTTTTCTTTTAGAAATATGTGAATTTGCCATATGCTGAATCTGGTCATGTATATACAGTATTTACCTACATTGAATTTAAAGTACTATTAAGATTTATATTTCTCTTGTTCTAAGCAGTTATTCTTTTCTAGTCCTCCATATATAACTACATTATAAATTATTACCCTGTTTATAAATGATTATGCATTTGTTTTCCTATTCTCTGTGCCATTCAGAGCCACAGAATCAGAACAGCTGGAAAGAAATATAAAATGAAACCCCCTTCTTAAGTTCATTTGTGCAGTCAAAAAAATAAAACGTTCATATTAGAGTCAGGGTCTGAATGAAATGTCTTCAACATCATAAACACACTATCTACACTGGATATAACAGTTTTTTATGAACTTTCTGAATTTGTTCAGAAAGTTATTTTAAAGACTTCAAATAATTTGGATCATAACAAATTTGTCCAAGTAAGCGAAGTGCAAACTTATGTTTAAAAAAAAGCTAAAATTGCTAATGAATTTGATGTCTTCCCATAAGTGGTGAATTACTTACATCCTCTGAATCTGAAAGCATATATATTTTGATTTTTTTTTATCTAGCTGCTACCTTTGGGCAAAACATTCTGAATTCAAAATACATATTTCTAGTGCACAATGGCAGCAAAACCATTTTTCCGGAAACTTTGAAAGTGTTTCATGCTCACAATAGCCTTTTTCAAGTTTGAAAAAAATTCAGCTCAAAATATTTCTAAAATGATAAAATAATTGGTTTTACTCTAAAATGCATTACATATAATTTAAGCTATTTTTCCACATTTCTATGAATGTGACAATTTGGTTAATGTATAATACAAATTTAGAAGAAACATTTAAATAATACTATATGGCTAAAATATTGTTTTTAAAATTACATATGTGGTCTTTCACCATAGACTATTTGCTTTCTGTAATACTTACTTTTATGCAAATAAAGTTGTAGCACTGTCCTAACAAAATATTTTGTAGATTGTCATTTTTATGAAGGGTGATTGCTACATTTTTAACATGCTGAAAAGAGAAATAGAAATTGTTTAATAAATTCATTAAAAACTTATTGGTAATGAATTGCTAAAATTGCATGTCTCAAATGACATACAAATTGTTTATTGAAGAATCCAGGATATTATTTGCATGATTTATAAGTGTTCTTCAAAGGAGAAAGAAAAATAAAGTATCACACTGCAGAAGAGAAAAGGCATTTTGCAGATTATTTTCTGACCAACATTAATTTCTTTATTTAACAAATTTATATAACTACCCAAAAGGAACGTAAGAAATTTTACAGAAAACCTGTGATATTTTAACTATGATAAAACCTAATAGAGGAGATGATATATTAAACCTGCTGAACCCAAATAATTATTGACCAACAGCAACTTTTATGTATTGTCTTTACATGTTGCTGAAAATACTCACTTTCACATGATTCCTCATTTTTTCATTAAGGAGAAATCCCACTTGGACAGCATCTTCCTTTATGTCAGTAATAATGCAAACTTCCTGTGATATAGAGTCTGGCAAAGACAATTTTAAAAAAAGAACAAAAAGAAGGTGGAAATTAATTTTCTTAACATTACCTCATTTCCAGAATCCTTTAGTCTCCCTATATATAATCACTATATATAGAAAACAGAATGTTGTTTATGACAACCATTAATATTCATGATGTTTCCAGGCTTAAGTTCTTGGCTAATCATCTGAATGTTTATAAGGGGAATATATTATGGATTGTTCATGATGAATTGTACAAAACAGTTCCAGGAGTCAAAATAATATCTTTTGTGGACATGACTCTTTTGAATTTCATTCATAAAACTGGTTGTTATTGCTGGATATTCAAGGCAGCTCTGTATTTCACTAAGTTCAATTGGTTATTCACTTCCACATTAGATTCAATAAGATACTTTATATTGGACTTTTTAAAAAACCTGTTCTTTATAGAATATACATGAGTCTAAAGGCTACAATAAGATTTTTCTTAACACACGTTATACTTATTAAACCAATTCAACTACAATTTGTTTTTAAGTTTCTGTACCCAGAAATTCTACTGGCTATCTAATGATTATCCTAATTATGCTATGTGTAAAGAATAACTACTAATAAAAAGTCTTGCAACCACCCAAGGGTTTTAGCATCAAATGAATGTATGAATCTTCCTTTATTGGGCACTTTATTAATGAAGGTTATCTGGACCTCTGGATAATCTTCTTCTAAATTATTGAGTTAAAACACAGTAAATGGGATTAGGGAACAGATTATAGAACAATTACAGATAACATTAATGTAAAAGGAGCATTTTTATTTAAGCATCATCATTTTACTACATAGAAAAATGCTGACGAGGTGACAAGTCCAAGCAGGACATACAAAGTTATGAGGTGCCTACAGGCAATTCCCCTGTGAACATAATGACTTAGTGCTTGTTTTTAAAAAAGGTAAGCTGAAACTGGAATTCAGGAGGTCATGTCATCATAAGAATTTGATCAGAGTTCCAAAAATATTAATTCTTCACCTAATTTTAAATATACATTTTAGGGACTACCTTAAAGGCAGACTCAAATCTTTCAAGCTTACATGTTTCAACTAGAGGTTCAAAGATATAGTTACCCTGAGGCAAGAAATCCTTAAAGAGATTCTTTCAGGATGTTTTTATGCTATCCAGGTTCCAACTACTTTTATAAATGAGTCATCCTAACTTCAGGATGAGGTTTCCCTATTTGCAGACTAATAATATGAGAAGAAAAAGGAGAGACATGCACCACATTGTCTGCACATCCAGCAAGTTGCTACCTGCTTTATTTTAAGATTTATTTTTATTAAATCAGTATTCTATTATTTTCCAATCTACTTTCTAAAAGAAATACAAAAACTAAAAAATGCGTAATTATTTTGTATGTGTGTGTGGAGTTCTTGGTGTTCTCTGAACTTAGTTGTTTGCTTGCAGATATTTCATTACCCAACTCCCCAAATCGTCATATATAAAACTGTTTGTTTTTCTTACCTACATCAGTGTTCAGTTTAATAGAATGGAATGTATTCTTTATCAACAGTTTATTCTGCCTACAGGAAAAAAACTTCAATTTTTCCTGAAGCATATGAAACTTATTAACTATATTTGCATAGATAGGATTACATTTGCAATTCAAAGTATCAAATAGAGCTCAAATAATTAAAAATAAGTGATATATTAAATTTGTTCTAAATTATTTTAGGCCATGTATCTCCAGTTGACTTAAAATTACTTTAAAGATCAACAGGATAAATTATAAACTATTATGCGAAATGTAAAAGTATCTATGCAAGCTTTAACAAATATATATGCCATCCATATATCACTAAAAATCTTAGGCAACAATAAAAACACAGAAACAAACCCATTTCAAATAAGCAAACAACCACTCCCCAAAACCACTTGATCCATCCATCCATCCCATTATGCCATTTATGGCTCATTTATAATTAAGACAAATGAATGCTAAAGCAAATATCTACATAATCCCCACTTTTTTTGTTACATTCCACCTGAAGTTTCAAAATAAATTGCAAATGGATTATTTTCCATAGCTATTACAAGAGGCAATTATGTTTGCTTATGCAAAAGCATTAGATACATATTCTCTTTTTAATTTGTCTATGATGTAAAACATTAATAATATCATGACATATGTGAGATTCATCTATTATCAATGAATATTTGGCTTGGATCCAAATTTAAGATGATTCAATCAATAGACTTGTTTGGTGACTAAAAATTTCACTAAGTTGAATGATGACCCTAACGACCCTAATTCTCTGGCAAATTCTTGACGAATGTATCTTTTCTTTTATGTATACTGAAAGTATTTGCACCAAGACAAATTCCTTGTGTGTCCAGCCACACTTGGCCAATAAAGAATTCTATTCTATTCTAAATTCAAATCTGGGTAATTTGATCCCAGAAATACAAAGCATTTATCTCACTGACTACTCTTAAAGGAAATTAATTATGTATCTTTCAACCATTTTCATATGAATAATAACTGTTTTTCAACAATATAGTTAATATATAGTTATATACACATAATATAGAACTATATATAATATATAGTTCAAACTAACATAGAATTAACTTGAAATTATAGAATATGTGATGAAAATATCTGGTTGATTCAGTTTTTAAATTATTTTAAAATATTTAAATTTTTAACATGTAATTATTATTTTAGAGCTATCGCAGATGGTACATGGTCAGAAATCTGAAGCCAGCATAATTGTTTCATTAATTTTTGGAATTTATACATAACAATTTCTCATAAATAACTCAGTGCTTTCTTCATAATTTGTACTTGCTTTGTATGGGAAGAACTTAATCTACCAGCAATGAATACTTTATTTATTTGTTTACTACATTTCTGAAATTAACATCAAACTTGATATTAACTGGTGATTGCCATTAAATAGTTCACAGGGAAACATTCACAGAGAAATATCAAAATTCAGTATGAAGACCCAAAGTGCCATCTGACTGTATGTAGTCCTCATCTTAAAACCACTTAAGTTTCAGTGACATTGAAAATAGTGGCTAATTATTGTTTTTCAAAATTATGACCATTGCAGCATTCTCCTGGTCACATGATCAATCTTTGCAACTGACTCATATTTATGATAGTTGCAGTGTTCCAGGATCATGTAATAATTTTTTGCGAACTTCTAATATGACTGCAAAGTCAACAGGGAAAGCGTTAATTTACAACTGTGTTATTAACTTAACAACTGCAGTAATTCATTTAACAACTGTGGCAAGAAAGGTTGTAAAATAGGGCAAAACTCACTTAACTCTCACTTAGCAACATAAATTTTGGGCTTAATTATGGCTACAAATCAAGGACTACTTGTATGCAAATACATATAAATTAAATGGAAATTTAAAAAAAAACATAAACACAAAATAACTGGTAGACCATTTCCCCAGGAATGTTTACTGGGAGAAAAAATTAATCATCATTGTTTTTAGAATAGTTTATTTATATAAACTAGATAAATCAAATCCATATTTTTAGTCTTGGCATTTTGGGTTATAAGGCTGAGCTTGCATATTTAATCATGGGCACAACGAATTTTTATTATAATAAATTCAATGTCGTTTTACAATATATGTTCATATGTCTTATTACAAAATTTTTTATTTTATTTCCAAAGTCAAAATACAAAACAAAGAAAAAGAGATGAACTAACATTGAAAATTAATTTAAAAAGATAACAAAAAATAACAAATAACGAATATATCATTCACATTGACATTAAACATAAATGTCCACCCTGGTTGAATGCTGAAAAATATATCAAATATATATTATGTATTCTCCTTCCCTTAATGTAACAGGTCTACAAGTAATTATAAACTTTCCCATCTATATTTTATATATATATTCTGAGGTTCTCGCGGGTATTTGTATGTGGATCTTTGGTTATTCTGGTTTTCTCCCGCGTAAGATTGGCAGTATCTAGGCAACGTTTCGATGAAGTCTCATTCATCATCTTCAGGC